GTACAATGTTGATGTTGAATTAGCGTGACTTTATATTTGGGCATAGATTATGCTCTCCAGTGAAGTCCCTGATCCTCTCTGAAGACTTAATTTTAAGACTGTTTAAGAATTCTATTTGAGATTTTTTTTTTAGATGGCATTTAGGAGACTGTTAAGAACTATGCCCAGAGAACTTTGTGGAGACCTCTTAATATAAGGCAGTGAGAGAGGCACTTAAAAGAACAATGTTTGAGCCTTTTCAGGATTCCAGACTTTTCTAGAATTGGGAATGTAGACAATGTACCCTAAATATACCCTAACTGATTTGCTGAAGTTAGCAAGTATTTAAATGGAGAGCATATAAAAGGATCAAACAGGTCAGCCCTGCAAAACCTGGGCCCAAGTTTGGGGCTCAGTGTTGAAAGACTTGGTGCTTTGGGATGATGCAGTGAATACTGGGTTGTCCCTTGCTTCTCTTCCTACCTCTGACTGCAGTGTGAGGCTAGGTCAGTTTAAATGGACAATTTCTACTCTCCTTTAAGAATGTGTGAAATATAACTTTCTTTGGGACTTCCTAGAAGGGTGGTGGATGCATCCAGGCAGCCAACAGAAATGGTAACTGACTACACATGGAAGCTAGAGATCACTACTGGCCAGATTAATCTCTTCTCTGAGCAGAAGTAAGCACACAGAGGTTCTGAGAGGGATTTTCATAGCTTTGGTGGCAAGTTGTGTTGGAGAGATTGGGAGCTCCTGGGTTCCTCAGTCAGAACTAACTCAGGCAGCAGGAGGATTTTCTGCATCCCAGAGAATGCCCATGATAGGAACTCCAAGCCCTGGTCAGACCTGGTTGACCGGTCAGAACTCCTTAGAGTTTCCTGAGCTATTCCTCACCATTTCTGACCTCATCAATGTGATGGAACTTCCAGGGTCTGTAAGGCCCTGATTTGAAGGTAATAGAAACAGCAAGGCAGATCAGGCCCTGGAAGTTGGGGCAGTGAAGTTGTGATACCAGCACTGGTAGAACTTTTGTATGTAACTTTTGCTTGCTATAATCTAGAACTTCTTAGGCCCCTTCACATTGCTGTCAGTACAATGTAAGCGAGTCAACAGATATTTTTTTTCCCATGGAAGGCCTGAAGAACAAAGCAGAATTGTTGGGAAGAGATGAGATTGTTTCTGTGTAACTATCCAGCCCCCACAAAAGAAGCAATTCTTCAGCTGAGGCTTCTAAAGGTTAAAAAATTTGGCATTTCCCTCCTCCCTCTTAATGGGGCTCTCAGAGAAGGGGAGATCTTGCCAGGAGGGCTGGGAAACACTGGATGGGTGGCAGCACCCAGTGTGTCTCCATACTGAGCCCAACACTGAGAGAGGCTGCAGGCACAATAATGACTTCTTAGCTATCTCACTGGAGATAACTGACCGTTGATGAGAATGGATGACTGTGCCGTAAGAGCTATCATCTATGCTTTCCACATGTTACAATGTTATGCCAGGAGACCCATTGTAGACTGCAAATATTTGGCATCACTCACATTTACCAGATCATTAAAATCTGGGACTTGGTCATTCCAAAGGGAGGTGAAACCTGGGATTTCTCATCTTTATTCTGCTCCATATTTCATCACATAGGCTAGGCTAGTCTTCCTCTAAAAGGTAATAAAATCATCCTTGAGACTTAATAGATCCAGGGACTAAGGCTGTAATTGCTGACAAAGCCTCCTGGTTGAATAAGTCAAAAGCCCAGCTCAGGAGGAGTCCAGGGGTTTACTAATTTTGACAAATGCTTTTGATCAGACACCACCAAGGCAAATGAAGGGTGAGTGATGGTGGGTTCAAAAGGAATCAATGCTGTAGCCTTGTTGAATATAATTTCTGTATTATTAAATAAATCTCCTTTTGTTAAATGGTCAACGAGTGCTTGTTTTTTGTTCCAGTTCAAACATGAGCCACCAGACCATCTTGAGTCAGGCCTGGTGAAGAACAGATGGATATGAAAAGGTGGGGTTTGGTGGCTAGGGAAGAAAGCTCTGGCCTTGGCAGCTTATGGCTTAGAATCTCAGGGATGCTGGGTAGAACTCTAAGGAAATATATTTGCAGGGTTCTTACAGTAGCAGTAACGATATGATTATCAACCAACCTAAGGAAGAGGTTAGAAAGGCTTGGGAACATGCATGGCAGTAGGGTAGCTGGTTCTGGTGGTCAAAGCAAGGTTCTGTAGAGTCCTAGGGCTGATTATGGAGGAGTGAGGCACCTTATAGCACTCACTCTCCAAACACCAATTGGTCAGTTCTGCCCTAGGGTAGAGTTGATTATTTTTTCTCACCTCAATAGCACATATAGTAGCATATATACTAAATTTGGAATAACACAGAGAAGATTGTATAAGGATAACATACATATTTATTAAGAGTTTCATACTTTTCCTTCTTATATAGCAAAAAACCAAAACCAAAACCAAAAACCCAAACAAACCCGAAAAACTCCCCACCATAGGCCAGAGTTTCAAGGGTCCTGGGTGGTAGCAGATTTGAAGGGTGAAGGGTAGAAGGGCAGATGAACAGTTACTTCACTGGACCAGAATGGTTTTTTTTTTCATCAATAATATCTATTTATTAAGCACCAACTATCTGCCAGGTGCCATACTAAGTGTTGGACAGACAAAGAAAAGCAAAAGAGTTTCTGCTTTCAAGAAGCACATAGTCTAACTTTTGTGCAGGAGAGTATAGAAAAAGCAGGCGATAGTCTTGTTCTTCGAGCACATCTGGAATGTCAGTTGGCACCATACTTGGAGGAAGGATAAATTGGAGAAGACCCAAAGGAACCCAGAATGGTAAAGGACCTAGATATCCTGCCATGTGACTGAAAGATCTGGAGAAATTTAGTACGAAGAAGAAAAAAACTTACACGATAGCTAAGGAGCAGCAGAAAGAATGCTGGATTTGGAGTAAAAGAACCTGGACTCCATTGTTGGGAAATATTTTACTACTACTTTATATTGGTGTGACCTTAGGCAAGTCACTTCTTATCTGTACAATGAGAGAGTAGAACTAGACTTCCTCAAAGATTCCTTCCAACTCTAAATTTATGATCCTATGAGAAAATGAAATGTATGTGAAAGTATTTGAAAAGTTGTCAAGTGAAAAAGGGAATTGCACTTATGGGACCATAAATTTAGAGATGGAAAGAACCTTTGAAGTCATCCATTTTAATAGAAGTTAAAGTAATTTTATACTTGAGAAAACTGAGAGCCAGAAATGTTTAAGTGATTTGCCCAGGGTCATGCAGCTAGAAGGGAGCAAAGCTAGGATTTGAAATTCTGACTCCAAATCCAGCACTCTTTCCACTGTACCAGGCTGACTAGTTCCATTTGACCCCACTTCTAACATAGTAATGGGTGGAAGTTGTAGAGATGAATTTAGGAAAAACTTTCTAAAAGATCTAAAAGGAAGAGGTGAGCTCTCTCATTCGTCTATGAATAAAGGCTGAACAACCACTTGCTGCATATATTGTAGAGGGGCTTCTTTTTCCTGTACAGGTCAGACTAGATAGTCTCTAAGATCCCTTCCGACTTAAGGATTCTGTGATTGGGGAGAAGAAGTTCAGGTATTAAGGTCATGCTTATAAGAAATGCTTAAAATACAGTATTTTAACCTTGGCCCAATTAATTTCCCTTTATAGCTCTTTGCAGGCAGAGAAGTTCCTGCTTGCCTTTGTATCACCAACATCAGGCACAATGCCTTGCAGACACTGTTAAGCACTTGCTATTTGGCCAAAAAAAATTTGGAAATCGTTTACCACAGAACTCTTAATTTCTACACATTAAATTATTTTAATTTATTTTAATGTCCACTATATTACATCTCCTGTATAGGTGTAGGGATACAGCATGGAAGGGGCAGCTAGGTGGCCCAGTGGATACAGTGCACAGACTGAAGTCTGGAAGACTTAGTGTCCCTGGAGTTCAAATCCAGAAACAACAAAAATACAGCACGGACCTATGATTTAACTGGAATAAGGACGCCCTAGTGGGAAAACTTCCTCTCTCAAAATGGCCCATCAGCAGCTTCTTTGTTACTTAAAAGAGTATTCACAGTGATAGAGAAATTAACTGACTTGCCTAAGGTTACACAGGACTTGAACCCAGATCTGGCCAATTGGTCTCTTCAGAAAGTGTTATAATTCGAAAAGATTTCTCAAGTGACAATTTCCCCGAATAAAATCAATATATAAAGGGCAACTAGAGGAAACATGGTAGAATTGTTAACTAGAAAGAAGCAAGGCTAGGCATCGGAAGAACTCAATTATTCGTTTAATTGTCTCTTTGACTAAATTGACTAAAAATTGCTTAATTTCACCAAATTTCCAGATCCGCGGCTCTCAGTTTCTGAAGAATCAGATTTCAGGTGAAAGGGATCTTAAAAGATAATGTCATAGAATCCTAGACTTAGGAGGGTAATGGGCTTTGGGTTAGCCAGTCCGCCACTTTACAGATGGGACAACTGAGGCCCAAGTGACTTCCCTAAGTTAAGCAGCATTTATTAAGCGCCTAAACGGCGGGCGTTGCATTTATACTGAGGCTCACAGCAGAGACAGAATTCGAACCCACGTCTCTGAAGCCCGGTTCTTTTCCTCGCCCCGTTCAGTGACATCAGAGCACCAGAGTACAGGTTCATCAGCCGAGGGGAGGGCAGCGGCTCCGACGAGCCTCCGGGCCACGTCTGGAAGAAACCCCGGCCGCCCTCTCCCGGCTCGGGGCCGGAGCCTCCGGGAGGCTCCCGCCTCCACTCCTAGGGCCTCGAGGCTGGACCGAGGCTGCGGCTCCCGCCGCGCTCCGTCCCGAAAAACCCAGCTCAGAGCTCGCAGGAGGAGGAAGAAGATGCCGGTCGAGCCCCACATTCCCAGGCTCAGCGCCTGCGCGCGCGCCCCCGATAACCGTCACAGCGGCCGCCGCCGCGCCCACGCGCGCCATACGCTTCCGGGTTGGCGGCCGTAGGCCAGATGACGTCAGATGCTCGCCAAGGGCCCCGGAAGTGCAACTTGAACTCGGCAGTGGCGCCGCATCCGGGGAGCTGAGATCACAACAAGCGCACGAGTGAGTCCGGCCGGAGATGGTGAGGCGCCCCGCCCCCTGACCCTCCCCTCCCCCCGCGCCTCCCTTGTCCCTGCCTGCGGGGGCCCCCCGGCAGGGGTCTAGCCCAGGTAGGTGCCCGGGCCGGGCTCCTGCCGTCCCAGGGCCCGGGGCGCGGGGCGGGCGGGGTGACGAGGGGAGGGGCCCACGGAGCTCTCGGGATCGCTCCCCACCGGGCTTCCAGTGACAGCCCCGGGAACGTGAGATCACGCCCCCGGCCCCCTCTTGAGTGTGCTGCGGGCGCCGAGGAAGGGTCGCAGCGACGACCTCGGCTCCAGGTCGCGGGGTGTCATTTGTGCCCGCCTGGGAACGGCCCCGGGAAGGCGGGGAGACTTGCTTGTGACTTAACTTGGTGCGGAGCATGAGTGCGCCCAGGGCAGGAGCTCCCGGAAAAGAGGGTCCAGAAACGGACCCCGAAACCTCTGCCCTCCCGCAGTGATCCCGGGGTGGGGAGGAGAGAGAGAGCAACCCGCGGGACCCGAACTTGCTGGTGCTCTTTAGGGGAGAAGGGACGGGACGCGAATTTATGAGTTCTTAGCATAGGGAACCCTTCCCGTAAGGAAACTTCTTCTACCCACGCACCTCAACTGTTAGACATTTTATAGTTTTTAGAGTCTGAGAAGTTAAGTGACTTGTCTAGGGTCACAGAGCCAGATTTTGTCAGAGGTCATACTTGAACCCAGCTCTTCCTGTTTCTGAGACCGACCGGCACTCTGTCAACTACACCTGAGATTCTCAAACTTTTTGATTTCAGAACTCCTTTACACTTTTAAGAGTTATTGAGGATCCACTTTTTGAGTTTTGACCTCAAAGACCCCCTGAAAGAGAGAACCACACTTTGAGAACTCTTATACTCTCAAAAATTATTGAAGATCCTCTTTATGTAGACTACATTTATTCATTTTTTTTGCCATAGTAGAAATTAAAACATCTTATCATTATGAAATAATAACATTTTGACCTCAGGACCCCCTGGAAAAGTCTGGGGACCACATTTTGAGAACTCGTTTACACTTTTAGAAGTTATTGAGGATCCCTTCATGTAGGCTATAACTATCAATTTTTGACATTAGAAATTCAGACATTAGAAAAATAGTTTTGACCTCAAGTGCCCCCTTAAAGGGTCTGGGGTACCAACTTTGAGAACCATTGTAATACACTGTGCTGCTTTCTAGTTTAAAGATGAGTGGGCTTTGTAGTTAATTTCAATGGAATGACATGCCTTAATATCACATCACCTTAGTTGAACTTATTTTCAAAAGTAGCAGTTGGATTGAAGGAGTACAGGACTTGGAGTCAGAAGAGTTGCTTCTGATTATCTGTATGGCAGGGCAAGTTACTTAACCTCTCAGGATCCCATACAACTCTCTGACACTAAATGTGGAGCTTGCATCCTCAGCTGGAGTCCCTGTTCAGATGATGAAGACACAGATCTGGTCAAATAATAATAATAATTTAAAAAGCAGTCTCTGGTGCTGACACTGATGCTTATGTCACTGAGGAACTCCTTCAGCCTCCATTTCTTCATCTATGAAATAGGGATAACTTAGTACTTATCATTGCCTACCTCACAGAGTTGTTTTGAAGAAAGTATGTTTTAAGATGGAAAGCACTAGATAAATTAACTATTATTAATACTATTTTATTTTAAAATGGGTTGAGATACTATTCTCCTTTCCAGTTAGAATATAGTATTCAGAATGATATTTTCTCAAGGCAGGTTTGCTTGTCATAATGCTGAGAGGTAGAGGGTGACAGTATTTCTGACAAACTGTGCTGCATTGTTATGTTAATCCCCCCCACCCCAGTGTTTTGAAAAGGTGTATGGGAAAATTGTGTTTTTTTCAGGCCAACTAGCTTTGTGGTACACCTCATCAAATAATTAATAGTTGGTATTTCTGTAAGTTTACAAAGTACTTTTCATACTTCATTCCATTTGATCTTCATAACAGCCTTGTAAGATAGATATATTACATAAATTATTAACCTCATTTTACATGAAGTTTAAAGAGGTTTTGTCTCTTGCTTATGCCATGTAGTTAGTAGGCATTAAAAGCAGAATTCCAGCTCAGGTCTCATTCCAAGTCCAATTCAGTTACCACTATACCACATTGCCTTTCAAAATAAGTGTCATTTTCTTTATTAAGTCAACAACAGGCTTTTCCAGTTTTTAGTGGTATGGTGACATTGACATGAAACTGTGATGAAAGTACTAGATTAAATGACACCACTTCTGATAAAGCACCATTTTGAGTTTAATGGGATATGAAACAATTTATTTCATAGGATCCAGAGCTGGAAGGGACCCAGTGGTCATCTAGTCCAACTTCCTTATTTGGAGACCTAGAAATGTTAAATGACTTGCCCAGGTATGCAGAGGCAAGTAAGTAGCAGAGGTGACATCTGATGATTTTTCTACTTTGCTGCCACCATTCCTGTAGCTTACTTTTCCTAGCTTGTCTCCACCTCAGTGAAGGAATGAATGAACCAATCCACGTTTTTAATTAGAGTTGTACAGTTACTTTCTCTGGTTTTAGAACCACATGGAATATATAGAGTAGCCATAGGTGGCTAAGTAGCAAGTGATATTATGTGTACCCTACTGTGAAATATCTAGTCAGTCCCTTTCAGAATACCTATAAATAGGAATCAGTTGTACAAAGTTATAGTTTGTCCTCTCTTCTTTTGGTACTGTTTTGTTCTATTTGCATTGTTTCATATGTATTTTTCAAAATTTCTTCATATTCTTCATACGTATTAGTTTTGATTATATTATAGAATTACATGACATTAATGTTCCACAAGTTATTTAACAGTTCCACTGTTTTTGTATGTTTAAGTTGCTTCCAGTTCTTTTCAACCGCAAGTAACACTTGCAATGAAAATCCTTGAATGTGTATCACTTTTCTTGTTTTTCAAGATATATTCCCAACAATGGGATTATTGAGTCAAAAAGGATTTTTTTGGTAATTTGATTGCATGCTGCCATATTGCTGTCCAAAATATTGTACAAGCTTTTATTTCACCATTAATGTATGTATATACCTGTTTTGTAACAACCCTTCCAGCATTGGGTTTCATTGTTTTTGGTTATTTTTACTAATGTGATGGGTGCTCTCTAAATTTAAAATAACTGATGGGCAGTCACCATGCTTTTCTTTGCTTTTGTAGTTTCCACAATATATGAAGTGGGTTTGGGTCACAACTACTTTTACCTTAGGAGTGTAGCAGATTTATATTCTACAAACAAGCTATCAAAAAGCGAGTGCTGTCTGTCACTTACTGTGCTGGGGATACAGATACAAATACAAGAAAATGAAAAAATTCTTACTCTTAAAGAGCTTACATTCTGTTTCAGGAGACAGCATGAACATATATATGCATATATTAAAGAAATACAAAATAACTTAAAAGGTAGTTAAAGAGGGAGGGTGTTAGCCGATGAGCAGAACAGGAGAGGACTTTTGTGGAAGATGATACTTGAGCTACATCTTGAAAAAAGAGGGGAATCTTTGAGGTGAGGAGGGAGTTCGTTCCAGGAATGAGGGGATGACCAGTGCAAAGGAAGAGATATGAGTGTCATTTGTGAGGAACTTGCAGAAAGCCAGTTTGACCCTAACATAATCCAGGAAGTCCTGTAAAAAGAAATGTGGGTCTGGGAGTGAGAAGGGGATGTAAAGGAGAGATGTGATGACAAAAATGACAAGAGAGTTGGTTGGCCCTGTGCTTTGTTGAGCAATGTGGATCTGAGTGTGTATAAACATTGGATTGAATTTAAATTATTCTCATTCATTGATATCAGGGTACAAATAAACTTAGATTGTTATGCGAATTTTAAAATGCCTAGCATTTTTTTTTAAAGCTTAGCCCTGGTATAGTGGGCTAATAACAATAACAATCAGTTTTCAAATATCTATGCTAATGAAGGCCTACAGTAGTTTAGATAATCATTACATCTTTTAGAATTGACTTTGGAAGGTGTTTTTGTTCTTGTATTTGGAAGCATGTGCTATTTGGGAACCTTATTATTCCTCTATGTCTGCCTAAGTCAGTTCACAAGAGGAACAGCCCAGAAGAGACTTCAGGTAGTTAATGCACAGAGAGCCTTTGCCCTGGGTCCCAGGCTGTCTTTTTCCCCCAGGGACAAAATGGACTGGGCAACCTAGAACAGAGTCGGTATGAAATGTGAGGACTTTTAACTTTTTCACCTTTCCTCTCCTGGCACCTGGTTATTAGGATGGCTTTGATTTAAAATGCATACTTGTTGTTTGATAAAACCTAAATACATATTATTTACAACTTAGATTAACGTGTAGATTTCATTTCCGTTGCACCATGTAATCCAGTATTTTAAGTTTTGTCTAATATAAGCTCATTTATTCATTTATGTTACAAAATAAATTCACATTAGTTAAATTGTGAAATCAACACAATTTTTCTTTCCTTTTCCCAACTTGATGTCTCCTTTTTGGTGCCCATTCTAGTGTTTTCTTACCCCTCTTTTCCTTTCTTCTTCACTTTCCTCAACAAAATTTTATGTTTCATTTTATCTGCAAACATTCCTTGCTCTCTGATAAATGGCTGATTTGGTGAACTGATTTGTGCTGCTGAATTTGATTGCTGTTAACAGTATACCGGGAAAAACAAAACAAAACAAAACAAAACACTGAATTCGGAATTAGAAGACATACTCAAAACTTCTGTAACCTTAGGAAAGCCCCTTAACTTCTTTGAACCTCAGTTTCTCCATCTATAAAAATGAGAAGTAGATGATCTCTGAAGTCTCTTCTAAACCTATTACTTTGTGTTATAGTTAACACATAACATTTTCACTATCATGAAAATTCAAGCTGAATATTCTCTATTATGATACAATTTTCACTTTTAAAACTATTATTTATTAAGAATAGGACTTGTTCTTCTATTCTTGAATGGACCTGTGATCTCATAAATACGGGTGGATTACAACTAGGTCACAGAACA